TTGATCTCTCAAGATTTGCCTTGGCACTTTGCATCCTCTCCCCAGGGGTGCCAAGCTGCTGCTGGAGGCAGGAGCAATCGTGAACTTCGTTGCGCGGGACAGCGAGATGACTCCCCTGCATGTGGTGGCGGCAAGAGGCCTGGAGGAGCACGTGGCTCTCTACCTGGAACACGGAGCCGATGTGAGCTTGCGCACCAGCCAGGGCGAAACGGCCCTGAATGCAGCGTGCGCAGAGGCCGAGGGTCCAGGCAGTGGCCGGCAGCACCAGGCTGCCGCGCGCCAGCTCCTGGAGGCTGGTGCTGATGCCCGGGCGGCCGGACGCAAGCACCACACACCGCTGCACAACGCCTGTGCCAATGGCTGTGGGGCCCTGGCCGAGCTGCTACTGCGCCACGGGGCCTGTGTTAATGTTCCCAATGCAGCGGGCCACACACCCATGGACTGCGCACTACAGGCTGTCCAGGATGACCCCAACTGCAAGCCAGAGGTCCTCTTCGCGGCACTGCTGGACTATGGGGCTCAGCCTGTGCATCCTGAGGTGCGTAGGGAAGGCCTGTGAAATGAGGCTTCATTTAGGTGGGGGAAGCTTGTGGATGGAATTGCTGCACCATGGGGTAAGAGTGGGGACCAAGAGACCAAGAACCCACACTCTGTGGCCAGAGGTCTATCCTCATCTTGGGAAGGACCAGTGAGGACCATGGTCCCAAGGAAATTGACTGGGGCCAGGAGGTTGTGGAGTACTCTTGAAGGTGGGGTAAACCGAGGCAGGGAAAAGGATGAGGAGAGCCAAAGACCTTAGCCTCCCAAATTTGGGTAAGTAGGGCTTCGGCTTAGGCTGGACTTGAGTCTGCTCCTGGTTGGGAGAGGCATGGTGCCCCTGAGACTCTCTTTTGATTCCTAGATGCTGAAACACTGTGCCAACTTCCCTCGGGCCCTGGAAGTCCTGCTTAATGCCTACCCTTGTGTCCCATCCTGTGATACCTGGGTGGAGGCGGTACTCCCAGAGCTGTGGCAGGTATGTCTACTCCAGAGTGGTAGGTAGAAAGGAAGGTTGGGTCCTAGGCCTATCCCTCCAGGGTGGGCTTCCTGGAGGGAGGAGCAGGAGGGCCCCCGGGATGAAGAAGGACAGGCAGAGTGAAATCCTTGGGCTCTAGGGTCCCACATCCCTTAGCAGCTCAAAATAACCTCTAATTCTACATACCTCTCCAGCCTCTTTCTCACCTGCATCAACACATTTATCAGGCATGTCTGACTCAGTGGGCACTGTGCCAGCATCTTTGGAGTGGGGGTGAGTGCAGACATGGCTGAGACCAGGATCTGCATTGTGGTTCCAGCTCCCATGACCCCTGCAGGGCCTCTCTAGCTCTGAATCTGAGCCCTTCAGGATGTGCCAAATTTTGCATGGTGCAAAATCCTAGGGCCCTATCACTAGGTGGCCTCCGGTTGGAAGGGCAGAGTCAACAGAGTATTGGGCCATCTGACCCTGTTCCATTCCTGGCCTAGGAGCATGAAGCCTTCTACAGCTCTGCCTTGGGCATGGTGAACCAGCCAAGGCAGCTACAGCACCTGGCCCGGCTGGCCGTGCGTGCTCAATTGGGAAGCCATTGCCGACAGGCCACTGCCCGCCTTCCACTGCCCCCACTCCTTAGGGACTACCTGCTGCTGCGCGTGGAGGGGCGCATCCAGTGAGCACCGTGCCAGGCTGCTCCCATTAGCTTGTCCTGCTTTCTCCATCTGTTGTCCCCCCAACCCTAGAAGACCAGTTCCTGACCCTATGTCCACACTCTGCATACCGTCCTCAGCCTGCCCATACCTCCACTGGCTTCTTGAGCCAACTGCTCACCTCCAACCTGACCTGAGCTTCAGCTCCTCTCTCCAGTGGGAAGGCCTGCAGACTCAGCCTTCACCTACCTCTTCTCCTTTGCCTAAGTGGATGGTGGCCCCTCCATCTCCCTGGGCCCAAGCCAGGAGGTGACGATCCTTGTTGCTCCCCATCTTCTGCCACCAATGTACCTGTTCAGCCTCCTAAAGAGTGACAGACTCTGCCTCTAGCTGCACTGCCTCTGCCCAACTTGTCATTGTCATTCGAAGGGAGGACCTCATGGACTGGTCTTAAAACCCATGCCCCCCTTTGCTCCCAGGTGTTTGCATGTGCCGTTCTCCCTCCTTGGCATATCCTTTTTTTTTTTTTGCCCTGGTTGAAGCTGATTTGATCCCCAAGAAAGCTCAATAGCACTATTTGACCAAGCTAGCAGGTAGCCTTTTTGATATCATACTTATTTAAGAGCCTGTGTCTGCTTCAACTAGGCTGAGACTAGGACTATATTTATTTCTTGAACAGGCATTTCAGTAAATGGTTGTTGAGAGAGGAATAAATGAATGATGCCTGGGACCCATTTATGGTTGTGTCCCACCCCCTGACCTCTTCAGTGATGCATGGTGTCTTAAACAGTGGTTACTACACTTGTGATCTCTGAGGGCCTGTGACAAGAAGACTAGCCACCAGCTATCCTCTCCCTCTCTCTCTCTCTCTCTCTCTCTCTCTCTCTCGCTTCCTCCTCTGGTCCCAGAGTCAAATGTACTACCATTTATCTTTAAGAGGAAGCTTTCAAGCCAAGCCAGTTATTATGAATACAAATAAATGACTTGTGCACAGAACCAATGTGTAGATGTTGTTAGGTTGAAATGTGGCTGAGATACCTATCACTCCATGTTTCTTTTTCCCCCTTTGTCCTCCCCTGTGGTTCCCAAGTTTTCTGTACTGAGCAACTATGACTCTTAGGATAGAAAAAAGGGTATCAGAATAACACAAGCCCCCTCACAGCCCCTGAGCCTGTAGTACCCACCACTGAGGAGGAGCTCCCAACAGCCTGCACTCCTGTCCTTTCACTGAGGGATCCTGAGATCTCCACCCCCAGTACCATCTGGAGTCTTGCAGCTGAGATGAGTCAGGAGTCCTGGGGTTGGCCTCCTGTAGCTGTCGCCCAGCCTCCCCTCCTCTGTGGGGAGTTGTATTTGCGGAGATGCCATTGGACCAACACAAAGACAGGCTTTTACCTCGTTATGCAGAGCAGCAACCTCTCCTTTCTGGGCTTTTTCACTTTAATTTCACAGAACCAAAGGCTTGAGAGAAGAGAGGGAAATCCTCTCTAGTCCTGTGCCCAAGCTGGGAGCCTTGTTCTCAGGGGAGGATGCTGAGCTGTCCACCCCATCACAGCAGGCTGACCTCACCTAGCTCAGCTTTTTCTGTTATATTTACAACTATGACAAGATACCTGTATAAAGAAAATGAAAGATACATGTGATTCTGTATATTATTTTGGGATAGGAGATTTTCCAGGGTAAAAGCATAAAAGGAAAGATTAATAGATCTGGATACAGAAAAAGTCTAAATTTGATTTTATTGGAAAATGTAGCTGAAGCTAAAAGGTTTTATTCCCTTGATGTGTGAGGGCAGGAACAACATCTGTTTTATCACCATTGTTGCGTTGGTGCCTGTACAGTACCTAGAAGAGTGGACACTCGAATATCTGTCAAGTAAATGAATGATGATACTCAATGTCACCAACAATCAGAGAAATGCAAATTAAAACAGCAATATGATATTATTCTTCCACTAGATTCGGGGAAATTTTAAAGACTGGTAATTTGCAGGGCCTGTGAAGATATGGAGAAGTAAGTTCTCGCATATCCTATTGGTAGGAAAGAAAACTGCCACCTTGGTGGGCAATTCAACAGTATCCTTAAATATTGCTCCCCCGTTACACAAAAGGCTGGTGCACACAGGAATATTCATCCCAGCATTGTTTGCACCAACTCAGCAAGTGGGTGGTGGTAAACAAATCCATGCTATGAAATACAATTCAGCCCTTACAAAGGTAGTACCAGCAGCAGGAAAGAACTGGAGAGAGATTCCAAATGAACAGCATATGTAATGCCTTGGAAAGATTTTCAAGACTGTTTTTAAAGAGAAAAAACAGGTTGGAATACAATATGTACAACAAACAAAACCAAACTCCATCATTGTAGATGAACAGAAAAAGACAAGGAAGGCAGATATCCAAGGATTCCCTTCTGGTGAGGGGAGAGGGACTGTGCTAGTGGGACTTTCTGGTCTGTATTTAAAATTTTTACAGAGGGGTACTCGTGGATTCTTGTAAATTAAAAAAAAAAAAAATAAGGAAAGAAAAGGCAAAAGGCCCAAACAGTTAATTTACAAAGTGGTTGATGAAATAATGAAAAACATTCAAATTCATTTGAAATCAAATC